CCGATGATGAAGATGACGATGGAGATGGAATCTCGCTCGCCGCCACCACCAGGGGGTGCTGTCCCTAGCGCGCGGCAAGACCGCCAGCGCCGCCCGTGCCGGGCTCCTCCGGCTTCTCGTCCAGTGCGGCCAGGCCCGCCTCCATCATATTCTCCGTAAAGGGTAAGGGAACCTCTCTCCACCACTGAGGCGTCGACAGGTTGATCGCCAGGTGCTTGCTGGAGAGCCGCTCGCAGTAGAAGACCTTATTCCCAAGAGTCGGCAAGCCCAGCCAGTTCCGCCCACAGTCCACGACTACCTTCAATTCGTCAGTCAGGATGTCCATGCCCAGCAGGATGGGGGCCCGATTCGACATCGCCGAGAGGCTCACGGGGTGCAGGTTGGGGCCCACAAACACCTTGCCAGTGACCGACCCCATGGAACTCTTCCGAAGCCCGTTCCCGAAGGTGAAGGAGCAGACCTCGTCCTTCGTCTCGAACTCGACCCCGTGCTGGTCCAGCATCTCGTACATCAGGTTTTCCACGCTCTCGATGCCACCTAGCTCCGGGTCGCTCCGATGTCCAGGATGGCCCAGATCCCCTCGCGCTCCAGCAAGTAGACGTACTCGTCCAGGGCCGACAGGATGAAGCCGTTGTGGGTGTTGTGGCTATCGCCACTCGTGTTCGTCGTCAGCTTGTTCTTGTTCGGGCAATCCCTGGCGCGATGACCGAACTGACGGCGCAGGATGCACTTCATCTTGGCCATGTCACGGCCTGACTCGAATCGCACGCGACGATCGGCTTGACCCCGTCCACGTCCCTTGCCAGGTGGTCGCGGTCGGCTCTCGTGATGAGGCCGAGGGGGCGGTGCCGCCCGCTGGTCCGTCAACTCGCTCTTGGGCGCCACCGCCGGGTAGAAGTCCCGAGCCGCACGTACTTGTCGAAGTAGATCTCGAGCGTCCTTGAAGTTCCGTCCGGCCTGTCGAAACTGGGCGTGCACCTCATTGTCCGCCCCCTGGTCAGCAGCTTCTTCTTCTTCTTCGAAGTCCTCGTCTCCCGCGATGTTGATCAGCTGCTCGACCATCTCGTACAGGTCTTCTGGATCACCACCAGTCTCGCAGTCGTCCTCGTTGGCGTCGTTCTCGTACAGGGCCTTCTCGCGCTTCGTCTTGCCGTCCAGCTCGGCCAGCGCGTCCGCCGGGAAGCGCGTCAGGAGCGTCCGGTAGGTCCTCGCAAAGTCGAAGTCGCCTCCCGCGGTCGCCGTCACTTCTCCTCGTAGCACTGGAGTGAGCCGTGACTTCCGAAGGAACCACCATGTACGAAGCGGCTTCGCGATCACCTCCCGAACACTCACGTCGATGGCCTGCAGCTGTGTGAGCAGCTCGCGTTCCTTCTTCTCGAACCGCGCCGCCCAGTCCTGGAACGTCTCTCCAGCGTTCCGAGATGTCTTTATGAAGAACTCTTCTGCCAGCAGGCCCGTGTCGTTCAAGCTCGTGTAGTCCAGCTTGTCCAGCACGTACTCGAACACAGTGTTCCAGCCCGTGAGGTGGCCGTCTTCGTCCACTGTGTCCACCCGGTCGATCTTCGGGCAGCTCTCCACGGCGCTCCTCGCGCGCGGTCCGGGCTCTCGGACCAGCTGTGGTCCGCAGACGTAGCGGTCGGCCACGCGCGCGCTCTTCACGAACATGGACACCTCGAAGCGGTAGCTGGAGAGCTTGTTGGCCTCCCCGTGCCACGTCGGCACCTCCACCCTGACCCTGGAGGTCGTGGAGGTCGCGCCGCTCGACGCCATGGCGGCGAGACTGGTGGGAGCCCGTGGCGGAAACCACAGGCTCCGCTACCAATCTGAATCCCAAGGAGCCCGAAAGAGGCCCACGACTAGGAAGTCCCGGGCCTCGAGCTCCTTCACCACGGGATCGTCAATTTGTCAAGAATCTTGACGCTTGATTGTCAGAACACACTCAGTGAAATGAAGAAGAGGGCACCCGCTGCCCTCGCACTCTTTCCTGGCACGTCTCCAGAGCGCGCCGCTGCCTGCGAACTCGCAGGTTCATCCAGGAAGGAATCCCGCCCGCCCTCGCCTGATCCGAGGTGGCGGCGGCGCGCTGCAATGATAACGGTAGCAGTGAGCGAGAATGAGACGCATGAAACAGACTCGATACAACTGCTAGCGACATGAGGTACCCCTATCACATTCAGAGCGGGGGCGGGGCGTCGCCCAGGATGGCCGCGAAGAGGCCGAGGTCGCAGCTCGAGCTGGCAGGGGCTGGCCTGGCGGCGGCGGCAGGGCCTGGGCGCCCGTCTTCCGAGGCCAACTGGCTCCGCGGGCTGGTGCCCCACGCCCCCAGGCGGCTGGCGCTCCGCACCCACGTGGTCGAACACTCTTCCTGGGTTTCAGACATCTCGTGGCCCGACGCCTGAAGGCGACCACGCTTCAATTTTCGCATGAACTTGCAACTGCAGGCTCGCGGCAGCCTCGAACGCGCGTGCTTTCGTGGAGTTCCGACAACTACAAAAAGCACGCGTTCGCATGGATACTAGAGAAACATCTTGCACGCATCATGTAGCATGCGCAATGCTAGGGGTGATTTCCTAAAGCTACCCGCGTGCGGGTTTGCGTGGGGATTCGAACCGCATCGGTCCAGCTTCATATGTCAGTACAACTGTTGAGACTTGGGGCAGAAGGCGTCGAATTCAATGTGCGCGAAGGAGCTGCAGCCTACATGTGAGTCTTGTATATGGCAGTCCGCAAGTTCACCTGGTCCACAGCCATGTTGTCAGTCACTTTGGCGAGCATTTCGTTGAGGCTCGCAAGCTCAGACATGATCGTGAGCTCTGGCTGGGTCTTCGCCGTGGCGTTCTGTCGGATGAGGCAGCGACGTATAATTTTATTCATCGTCTGACTGAGAACCGCTAGGGAGTCCAGGCGGTGATTGCGCGCGAGCGTTGCCATGGTGCCACATGAGAGACCAATAGTGGCAATGACGACATCTGTTGGCAAAGTCGCGACGGAAAACAACGGACGCACGCCTGATGATGCGCCGCAAGTCGCGAGAACCCTTCTCCCCATGCAGCTTCCCCAGCACCTCGCGCAAAACCTGCGCGCCCAAGTCCGAAGGGGACTTGGCCCTCTGGCGTTTGTGCGCGAATTTGCCCAGCATGGTTGGGCAATGGAGCGGCAGAAATACAATTTGTGGCTTGGTCCCAACTGCAGCAAATTCCATAAGGATGAACACTGACGCGAATCGTGTGTTACTGGCGCAAGCAAGCGAATAAACAACACAATGCACCAACCAACATGTGGTGAATTTTCGACAGACTTATTCATCACTGTGCTGGCAAGGCGCCGTCGAAGACACTGCATGAACCACTTGCATAGGTTCTTTGTACCTCGCGTGCACGTGATCGCGCCAGCCTTCCCCAAACAAACAGCGTGCGTGGGTTGACATGGTGGAATTATCGTTCGTACACAGAACCGACATGCTTAGATGTATTGAGGCATAATATGCGTTGAGGTTTCTCGGATTTCAACATTGCGGTAACTTGAAATATCTCTGCGATATACTCTTACTATCTGGAGAGACAACAAAACTAGCTTCGCCGAACTATAACATGTCCCAAATACAAAAAAACGCAGTTTTGAACATTTATATCGCACTTCAGCTTCAATTATCAAATCTTAAGGGCCCGAATCCCGAGCCCCTGGGACCCTGTGGGCCCCCCCAGATCCGTGGCCCAGGGGACCCCCGTGGACGCCCCTGTAGGAGGCCCCCCAGGCGTTTCAGTGTTCCTGGAAGCCCTTGCTTGGCCTAAACGACGGGCCCAAATCTATTAGGAGGTGGCCGAACGCCCCCCCGAGGGCCCCTAGAATAGAGGCCCCATAAACCCACCAATCGCGCGAATACGACCCAAATAAGACCCCCGATAGGCTTCCAAAACGCAGCAAACATTGAATGTCCAAGGTTTTTTGTTTAATTTGGGAATGTCTTGTTTTTCTGTCTTCTGGGCGTCCGAGACCACTTGGGAGGTTCGAAGTCGCAACCAAAACTATTCGAAAGGGCTTCCTTCCAGGCAGTCCAAGAGAGCACCAACACGGCACAACAAGGTTCGAAGATGGCCCAAGAGAGCCCCATGACTGCCCAACATGACCCCAAGACGCCTTTCGAAGCGTTCCAAATCGTAACCTGGTCATTCAGGGAGACCGCGTGCGGATGGAGGCAGGGTTGCCCGAGGAAGCCCCCAGAGGCCCCCAGAAGACGCCCAGGAGGCCTCCAGAAGCTTTAAAGAAAACCAGAGAACTTCCGTGAGGCCCCCAGAGGCTCTCCAATGAGGAGCCTTTGCAAAAAGAGCAGAGGAGGATGGGGGACAATTCGCAGGAGAGGGCGAGAATGAAGAAACAAACACATGGAGGTAGGACAACGACTCACACTATTGTAACGGCGATGCCGGGAAAAGGCAACAAGGATTTATCGCTGAATTTTCCGTGTGTGACCTTCCTGCCAGTCCATTTGCATACCAAATTTGAAGGACCAAGGTGCATGGCGCGAAGCACCAATGCAGTCTGGTATAGTTACTACTAGTATGGTTACTATTATATCTATGAGTTTGCTCATCATTATTCGTATTGCTATCAGTATTATCAATATTATCACAATTAGTATTATCCTCAGTATTCTCACTAGTAGTCTTATCATTTTCATTATTGGTGTTGTCCTTATCCATATCATTATCATTATCATTATTGTTAGTATTGTCATTATTCTTTATAAGTATTTAGAACATTGGGATTCCTATCATTCTTCTTCTTCTTTTTCTTTTTTCCTCTTATTCTTATTATAAGTAATAGTAATATTAATGAGTACTATGGTTGATATTATTTTCATTATTATTATTATTATTACTACATTGATCGGCGTTTAGCGCCTTCAATAGCGCCCAGTGGCACGCAATAGCCCCAAGTTGCGCCCAATAATGCCTAGTAGCGCCGACGCCGAATAGCGCCTTGCGCCATGCGAGGTAGATGCGTCATGCCCGCTCTAGCGCGCCACTGGGTGCGCTGTCGGGCGCCATGAGGGACGACCAATCGCTTTCGTGAGCTGCTTCCCGAGGGACATCTGGAGAACCCCCCCGAACCCGCCCGTGCCCCCCGCAGAGGAGAAGGGCCGCGCCGCTTGCTGCCATGGGCGCGTCGCCCTCGGCCCCCAGCCCGGAGCAGGCTGAGAGCTTGCGCGGCGGCGTGGACGAGGCGTGCGCGCGGGCAGCGCGCGCCATCGGCGAGGCCGACGTGCTCCTGCTGTGCACGGGCGCCGGCTTCTCCGCGGACGGCTGGGCCCTCCCGGGTGGGGTCGGAGCAGCTTCGAAAAAGAGAGGGCGGCGCAGGCATACGGCCGCCTCCTCTTTTTCTCCTCGACAGAATGATTGCCCGCAGGATGGGGTTTCCGCAGTCGCTCCTCTCTGCCGCTTTTTCCTGGTCCCGCCCGCACGACCCGCCTGGTGGGGTCCGTCCGCTCCCCCAGCCCGCCGCTCCCACGGGAACGTCACGATTCTCGTCACGATGGGAATGCCTGAGGATCATAGCTGATTCCCAGGCGGCGCTGGCGCGAGGGACAGCATTGCACGAGACGTGCCCAACCCCTTCTCAACGAGAGTCGACTATTCAAAGGAGCGGTCCGTGCAAAAAAACACGTTGCCAGGACTCTGCTCCGCTGGACCTCCCCAGGAGCAGCGAGGTCCCGTCTGGGGCCGCGTGGCCCCTGCCTTCGCTGTGCTTCCCAGGAGCCCACGAAAGTGGCGACAGTTGCGCAATTCGCAGATATCCAGGAGGCAGCGAGTTCCCGTCTGGGTGCGCGTACTCCCCGACTCCGCTCGACCTTCCAGGAGCCCACGAAAATGGCATCTGGTGCGCAGTTCGCAGCCCCCCAAGGAGCTGCGAGGTCTCTGGTACTCCGCTACTCCGCCGTGCCTCCCAGGAGCCCACGAAAGCGGCGACGGTTGCGCAGCTCCCAGCCACAATCCAAGGAGCTGCGAGGCCTCGGCCGGATCCGCGTGCCGCTCTGCTCCGCCGCGCCTCCCAGGAGCCCACGGAAGTGGCGACAGTTGCACAGTTCGCAGCCTCTCCAGGAGCTGCGCGGTGCAGTCTGGAGGCGTGTGCTCCGCTCTGCTCCGCCGCGCCTCCCGGGAGCCCACGGCAGTGGCGACAGCGGCACGGCTCGCGGCCGCCCGGGGAGCTGCGCAGGCAGAGGAGGCAGACGGCGGGAGGAGGGCAGCAGGAGGGAGGAGAAATGAGGAGGGAGAGGAGGATGAAGGGGCGTGCGACTGCAGCGCTCTCTCTCTCTCTCTCTATATATATACATATATTTATATATACATATATATATATATATATATATATATATATATGTACATGCAAAACGAGAATCCAGCGCAGGAGTGTTGGGGAAAATCGCCTCTCGGGAATCCTGAGGCATCTCCGCCCGGGGACGCCTTCGGCAGCACCCGACGGGGAGGCGCCGGTGCGGGGGAGCGGGTGGCCGGCGACCTCGGTGGCCGCGGCTGCCAGGGTCTCCGGTGGGGGTCCTGCGCCCGCGGGCCAAGCATGTTCGGGGGGGGGGGCGTGGGTCGAGGAGCGTGCCCAGGAGGCCTCGGGCCCTGGAGGGTGCATTCGCTGACGAGGGGGGTGCGGTGTCCATGGCCAGCCCACGGTTGGAGTTCCACCAGCTTCTAGGGAGGATGAGGAGGAGGAGGACGTCTTTCGTTGTTTTCGGCATACAGGGAATCAGGTCACATAGAGAGAGAGAGAGAGAGAGAGACGGCATAGTTTCGGGCCCGCCCAGATGGGGTCGAAGAGCGGACGCTTCCAATTTTTCGGGGCTCCGCGCGGATGTCTTGGATCTGCGTTTGAGCCCGATCCGCGCTTCTGGCGCCGCCCCTGGCGCGCGGAGCGCGCCCTAGGAGGGGGTCAAGCGCAGATCCGGGACCTCCGCACGGACCTCCGACAGTGTTTGTTTATGGAGTTCCTTGTCCTGGTCTGTAGATGGGGGCGGAGGATCGCGCCGCATCGCCGATGCATCGGCGATGCGGCTCGATGCGGATCCCGATTTTCGCCACGGCGCGATCTCCCAACCCCATCTGCTCCGACCCCAAGTGGGAGGCCTTCAGGATAGCGGCCTGGCCGTGTACGCGGACGTGGCGAGGGTGGAGGCGTACGCGAAGCGCGGGCTGCAGTACCACGACATCTGCCAGCCACACTGGCTGGAGTCGGAGCCAGAGCTCTTCTGGGGCTTCTGGGGCCAGTGCTTCAACGACTACCGCAGCACGCCGCCCCACGAGGGCTACGCCATAATCGACGGATGGGCAGACCGCTGGTTCATGGCGAACGAACACTACGCATCCATACCCATAGGGGGATGGAGGGGGCCATGGGTGCGGGCTGTCGGATGGAGGCCCCCGCTCGCACGGGAGACTCGTAGGGTCCGTCAGACCGCGCCCGTACCCATAGCCAGTCCTCCTCCCTCCGACCCCCCAGTGGAAACGGGCGTATGTTGTTCGGTTGGCACGGTTGATCCCATATTGGTGGATCCCCGGCCTTGGGCTTCTGAGTGGGCTGGCCGCTCGAGCTTCCCGCGGCCTTCTGCGCCTCGACGCTGCGCGCGAGGCCGCGGCGCCAAACAGTGTGCTGTTCGTTCCCCAGGCCCCCGACGTCGTGATCTTTTCACAACGTCGTGATTTTTTCACAACGTGATTTTTTCACAACGTCTGGACCCCTTTCCCGTGACCGGTTTTTCATCCTGTGCCGTTTTTGGACGGTCCTGGGGCCCGGTAAGGGCCCCCAAGGATGCCGGAAGTAGCGAAAAACCTCCCCTCGCGATTTTTTCACATTGCGAGGGTGTCTGGGTTGTCAGGTTCCGGCGCACCGAGCTGGCCCAGAAGATCCGGCAGAAGCTGCAGGCGCCGCGCGGGGCGGATGGCGGTGGGAGCGAGGCAGAGAGCCAGGCGGAGCAGTTGCCCCTGGAGCCCTACGTCGTCTCCGACGCCGCCGGGGCCTTCTTCGTCTTCACCTCGAACGTGGACGCCCACCACTTCGACTGGTTTCGCGCCTGCGAGATCCGCGAGTGCCACGGGCTTAGACGATGCTCAAAATGCGGGTGGCGTTTATTCTTCTGTTTTCAAGGTGAGTAGTGTTTGTTGCTCGTCAGTTTGGGGGTCTTGTTTTGTATTTGTCCATTTTGTTTCTCGTTCGTGCCGTTTTCGTTTCGCTTCTGCTTTGTACGGCGTGTATATTGTCTTTGTGTCTTGGCTTGCTGTATTTGTTCCGTTCTGAATGGCCAGAAAACCGAAAGCTGAAACACAAACAGCAGAACGCCCCCATGTTCTTTTTTCTTTTGAACACTTCCTGAGGCCACGGGAATACGGAGACCTACCAGTGCACCCGCGGGTGTAAGGGACTATGGCGTGCGCCCCTGGACTTCCGGTTCTGCGTGGACGCCGTCACCATTCGGCGGCGAGCCTGGGGGGGGAAAGTGAGCAGGGGCGGGCCTTCTCGGACGGCTCGGGAGTCCCCCGGCCTCGCGAGGAGTCTCCGAAGCCTTCCCCGAGGACGCAGAACACTGTTCAGACTGCGCGAGGGCTTCTGAGCAGTCCCGCCCTCCTCCTCACTTCCACCCTCGCCTGCCGCCAGACCATGCTCGCGCCCGCGGGCGAGCCTGGGGCCGCGATCGACGCCGAGGCCGCGGAGGGCGCGGGCGCCGTGATGAAGTCGGGCGGCGGTGAGCCACCGGGCGGGGCAGCCGCCAGGCCGCGCCTCGGGCACGTCCGAGGGGGCGGGCGGCTCACGACGCTCCGGCACATGCCGGGGCCTCTGGCCGGGGCGGCGGGCTTCGGGGCGACCGGGCGGCCGCGCAAAGGGGGGGGGGCCCTGCAGTGGTCGTCGAGGGGGGCTCCTCGAGGGGCCCCCGAGGGGGTCTCCAGCGGCTTTTTGGGGCCCTTTGTGCTTCCCCCTCCCTGGAGGCCAGCCCCCTGAAGCGAGCATCCGAGGCGAACCACCCCGTGTGCCCGAGCTGCGGCGCCCCTGCGCGGCCCGCCATCCTGATGTTCGGGGACGGGGGCTGGCTGGACCTGGATGAGCAGGAGAAGAGGCGAGCGTCGGTATCGTTTACCGATCCCCATCCCCATCCCCATCCCCTTCGAGATCCCCACCAAATTACCACCCCAGTTGGGGATACACCCCTCGAAACCCGAAGGGAACGGCTTATATCCCCAGCTAGGGGGGTAACTCGGCCATTGGGGCCTAGGCCACGCCGCTACGGATGGGGATCGGTCAAACGATACTCAGATCGACGGAAGAAAACGAGGCTGTACTCACAGAGGTAGGCGCGCAGGCTGACCACATCGGGTCTCGCGTTCAGCGCCCTCGCTTCCAACGTGGCGTGCCGCGCCAGTGGCCCGCGTGAGCCGCTGCGTAAGGTCGCCTATGCCATCTCGCGCAAGGCCCGTTTCTTTCTGTCGCTCAGGTGGTTTGCGTGGGCCGACGCGGCGTGCTCGGCCGCAAAGGACGCCCAGAGCGGCGACCGTCCTCTGCGCGCCGTGGTCCTCGAGATCGGCGCGGGGGGCAACGTGCCCACGGTCAGGAGGACTACGAGGGCTCGATGTATGCACCACGTCGGTCGGTCGGCCGAGGATCTGGGCCTCCCAGCTGGGCTTCGAGCAAGTGGGGCCGGAGGACCGCGCCGCATCGCCGAAGCATCGGCGATGCGGCTCGATGTGGGGCCCGATGTTATCCACGCCGACGTCGCTGATGCGTTGCCGGCGTTGCCGATGGATCGCCGATGATTCGCCGATGCGTCGGCGATGGAGTCCGGCGTGCAGACGCCAGCGTCCTACAGGTTGGGCAGCGGGGGCGTCTACATACCGAGCTCCCCGGCCGACCCAACGACGTGGTGTGCTTGTACACCGGGCCCCTCCCAAGGACCTCCGAGGACCGCCTCCACAGGTTCGGCGAGAGCGGTGCGATGGCCAAGCTGATCCGCGTGAACCCGGACCTCCCGCTCGGGGACAGGGACGAGTACGAGCCCGCGGGCGAGAAGGCAGACTGCATCATCAGCGTCATGGATGGGGGCCTCGCGAGCCTCCGGCGCATCGACGCGGCCTTGGGTGCGCTGTGGCCGGCGGATCCGCGCCAAGACGGCGACAGGCCCCCCCTGGGCGGCGGCGCGCCCAGGGGTCACCGAGCGCGTGCCACTGCTCGCAGAGTGCCTGCTCGCAAAGGTCCGAAAACCACAGGCCTACTTCGATGTAGTTTCTCGTAGATCCCCCGCGGCGGATCCAGGCCATTGGCGAGTAGTTGCTCTGCGAGTGGTGGAGCGCGCTCGTCTGCAGGGGGGAGCGAGAGAGGGCAGTCCTTTTCAGAAGCCGGCGGGGCTTCTCAGAGGCCCTCCGTTTTTTTTTTTTTTTTTTTTTTTTTTTTTTTTTTTTTTTTTTTGTTTTTACCTAACAGCCCTTGCTGATTACCTAACAGCTCTTGCTGATAGGTTTCTAGTGGTCTCAAAAGAGAGCATCATGACTCCTCAGGGGGGTCTGGGCGGGACCCGGGGAGCTGCCGCCGAAGCCGAAATCGCTTGGGACATCCTCGCAAAATCGCTCTTGGTGCTCCCAGAACTCCATTCCCGGGCCACATTTTGGATGCCCGGAGCCAACTGTAGGCCACTTCGTGCTCTTCGAGTTCCCAGAACTCCATTCCCGGGCCACATTTTGGATGCCCGGAGCCAACTGTAGGCCACTTCGTGCTCTTCGAGTTCCCAGAACTCCATTCCCGGGCCACATTTTGGATGCCCGGAGCCAACTGTAGGCCACTTCGTGCTCTTCAAGTTCCCAGAACTCCATTCCTGGGCATGATTTTGAATGCCCGGAGCCAACTGTAGGCCACTTCGTGTTCTTCTAGTTCCCAGAACTCCATTCCTGGGCCACATTTTGAATGCTGAGGCAGGCTGATGAGGCTGAGGCCGAGGCAGGCTGAGGAGGCCGAGGCTGAGGCAGGCTGAGGCTGAGGCTGAGGCTGAGGCTGAGGCTGAGGCTGAGGCTGAGGCTGAGGCTGAGGCTGAGGCAGGCTGAGGCTGAGGCTGAGCAGGCTGAGGCTGAGGCAGGCTGAGGCTGAGGCTGAGGCAGGCTGAGGCGGAGGCTGAGGCCGAGGCTGAAGGCAGACTGAGGCTGAGGCTGAAGCAGGCTGAGGCTGAGGCTGAGGCTGAGGCTGAGGCTGAGGCTGAGGCTGAGGCTGAGGCAGGCTGAGGCTGAGGCTGTGACTGCGACTGCCGTTGCCGCTGCGACTGTCATCGCGAATGCGACTACGACTGCGAGAACAGCAGAATTCTACAACTGGATTTTCATCTGAATCTTAAGGGGAATGCTTTCAGATATGCTTCTACACATCGCTGTTAGGTTGCTTTGCCGGGATAATTTCCCTAACAGCTTTTGCTGATAGGTTTCTAGTGGTTTCAAAAGAGAGCAGCAGATGACTCCACAGGGGGGTCGGGGCGGGACCCGGGGCGGCTGCCGCCGAAGCCCAAATCGCTTGGGACATCCTCGCAAAATCGCTCTTGGTGCTCCCAGAACTCCATTCCCGGGCCACATTTTGGATGCCCGGAGCCAACTGTAGGCCACTTCGTGCTCTTCGACTTCCCAGAACTCCATTCCCGGGCCACATTTTGGATGCCCGGAGCCAACTGTAGGCCACTTCGTGCTCTTCGATTCCCAGAACTCCATTCCCGGGCCACATTTTGGATGCCCGGAGCCAACTGTAGGCCACTTCGTGGTCTTCGAGTTCCCAGAACTCCATTCCTGGGCATGATTTTGAATGCCCGGAGCCAACTGTAGGCCACTTCGTGTTCTTCTAGTTCCCAGAACTCCATTCCTGGGCCACATTTTGAATGCTGAGGCAGGCTGATGCTGCGGCCGAGGCAGGCTGAGGCTGAGGCAGGCTGAGGCTGAGGCCGAGGCTGAAGGCAGACTGAGGCTGAGGCTGAAGCAGACTGAGGCTGAGGCTGAGGCAGGCTGAGGCTGAGGCTGAAGCAGGCTGATGCTGAGGCAGGCTGAGGCTGAGGCTGAGGCTGATGCAGGCTGAGGCTGAGGCAGGCTGAGGCTGAGGCCGAGGCTGAAGGCAGACTGAGGCTGAGGCTGAAGCAGGCTGAGGCTGAGGCTGAGGCAGGCTGAGGCTGAGGCAGGCTGAGGCTGAGGCAGGCTGAGGCTGAGGCTGTGACTGCGACTGCCGTTGCCGCTGCGACTGTCATCGCGAATGCGACTACGACTGCGAGAACAGCAGAATTCGACAACTGGATTTTCATCTGAATCTTAAGGGGCTTTCAGATATGCTTCTACACATCGCTGTTAGGTTGCTTTGCCGGGATAATTGTTCCCCTAGGGCAATAGGGCTGACAGTGGCGCTGGGTGTGCATCCCCACATGGCCTGAACGACCCTTCCTATC